CCTAAACCTTAAAAGTTGGAATTTAATGAACAAATACCAATATAATATAATGCAAAGTAATATAAATAAACAAACCTTTTTCCCTCTAACATACAGAAATGGCAACTAGACAAATAAATAGAAGTCATGTTCTTTGTATAGTTGAGCAAGATGACAGTGAGATCCTACGACATTAACATAAACTAAGAATATCGAACATGAACCAAACCAACATGTAATACCAACAAAGAATCACAGAAAAAATAAAAATAAAATAAAAAAATAAAAATACATGATCTCTAGACACGAGTAGGAAAGGAACTTATAACGCTTTGCACTTCCGCACACAAAGAAAGGGAGGGATAGTCATTCAAAAGAGAGCGAGACAAGTAGAAATAATCTTTAACAACTAGTAAAACCGATCAAAGCATCATGAGACCACACATTAGATTTAACAAGTCATAAAATGCAGTAAGACCGCGAAGGCTTTCAAAAGAAAAAAAAATAAAAAAATAAAATAGATAAAACTATGCCATTGGGATAAAAATGCTACTACACCACACCTATTTAATTAGCCACATCGTTCGACTTTAAACCCTTAGACCTATGTGAATAACGACATTAATAATAATAGACTCAAATGAAGAACAATCGCCACTAGAAGGATTTAAAGATCAGGAGACATATTCGGTGTTCAAAACAAGAATAAGGAAGACAAAGAAATAAACTACCCAAAGATCAAATATAGAATCAATGAGACCAAAGCCAAGAAGACAAACACCGAACATTGGAACTAAATCACAAAGCAGCATAAGAAATATAAGCACAACATAATCGAATTATCCGAAACCTCAACCACAATCAACAGCTACGTGATTAACCACAAAATGGCGATTTTCTAACATCAACCGAATGAGATAGGGGAAGATATGAAGGGATAGAGAAGTGTTACCTTCTTCCGGGCAGCGATACTAGGACAACAATAAGCTGGAATGGCGACCTTCACCACGCGAAATCCGAACACGAACAATAACCGCAAGAATATCGATTCCAAGACACTAAAACGGATCCCTCCCCTGTTCCCCTTGAACTGTATTTAATAGGTATTAGTTATATATTTTTATTTTTATATTTTGGATGCCCTTAGTAAGGAAAATTTCCAATTCCAAAAAAAATAATCTACTTTTGATACTGAAACAGTAAGAAATATATAGGAGGAAGCTAGGGTTTGATTTTTTGAGGGGGAAAGGGCTGAAAATCCGAATAGAAAAGGTCAAATTCAAAATTTGAATCCTCAAAAATCTTTCACCCTTTTGAACAAACACCATTTTATGAGGTTTTCGCCTCATTCCGAAAGAGGAAAGGGGGAAAAACGCGTGCTCTGTCCTGTTGTGATATTAATTGGAGAGAGACGTTGAGGAAGGAAACAAAGAGGAGCAGAGTACTGCTTCGTGTTCTGCTCTTCCGTGTGTTGTTCCGTGTTCATGCCGTGAATCGATAAACGTTGGGGAGTCGTTTGGGTCACTGTTGGATTGTCGTTTTGTCGAGGATGTGAAGACGCTTTGTGGTTTCCGTCTATTGACGTCGACAGCTGTTGTTTGAAGCGTTGAAGGAAGAAAAACAAAATGGGAACATTGGATTGCTGTTTGTAATGTATTGATAGTGGGCCGGGTATTTGATGAGAAAGAATGGGCTGATATCTGGAAATTTGGGAAATCAAAATGGGTTGAAGAACAAAAGAGGAATTGGGTTTCTGGTTGTGGGCTGGAAAACGAATTGGGCCAAAAGGTGGTCCAATTTTTGGGTCTTAAAATGGGTTGAAGGAAATATTGAGAAGTGACTACAATTGCAATTACATAAGATTACAATTATAACCGAACGAAGTTAAATACCTAGCCGACTTGAACTTAATTGGTGAATTTGGCCAAAGTTAAATAAGATAAAATTAATACTAATTAATTAACGAGCTTCTTAACCTTAACGAAAATAGAATAATTAATTTAATTATAAACTAATTAACTCAAAATATAAACCATTATATAACTAAACTAATTAACCAAATATTTAAGTAGAACTAAAATCTTTTTTGAGATAATTTTTCGAATATTCATAAAAATGCACTAATTATATACGTGATTATATATAAACATATTATTGTTTAAAAGTAACAAAAAGTGACAAACTACTTTAAAATAACTTACTAAATAATACATATATATATATATATACATACTTACATATATATACACACATATTTTTTTTGAAATTTTACAAGGCTAATTATTTTAAATCGTTTGAAAATTAAGAAGCTTAAAAACTAATTATTACCAGGGAGGGTCAAAATTGGGTGTCAACATAAATCATCTTCTTCTCCAACTTCTTACTCCCAAATAGAGTTTCCCATAGTTTCACTATTCCCAAATCCCAAACTTGATTTGTAGGAGGAATAAAATCACTAAACTAATTTGTGTTTTTTTTTTTTGAAAAAAGAATAAGAGTGAACACAATAACATTAGTTTTAAAAAAAAACAATGACCAAAAAGGAAAAAGAGCAAAAGAATTTTTTTTTGAGGAAGACATAGATGCCCAAGAAATATGGGTAAGCTAATGATGGTAGGAAAAATGAGAAAAAAGATTTGAAAATTAAAAACTATTCCTAATAAAGCTTTAAAAAAAAAATTAATATATGGGTTTTTATATTTTTTTCAAAATAAGTCAAATTGGGAGTGCCACATGGCAATTTTACATTGATCTGAAGCTGTATGAACAGTCCTTCACGCGCTCATATTTCTTGACAACACGAGTGATATTAAAATTAGTTAAAAGAGTATATTTATTGTGAATTTAGATGGTTTCATGAGTTAATAGAACACCCATAAAATTAAAATATCTTTTTGAAAATTTGAAACAATTTCAATAGTAACTTTATGTCTTTTCTCAATAATGATTCTACCTCGTGAGAAATGAGATGTGATGTGAACAAGATTTGCTTTTACACTCTACAAGTCACTATCACTATTAATAAATGAATATTTGTAGTTTTGAAAAGTGGATTTGTCACATTAATTAGGGGAATTAATGGTTCTTTTTAAATATATATATATATATATATATATATACTTTTCAGAGTTATCTTATGTTTCGATGTTTCAAGGTATCAATTAAGTTAAATTAATTGAGATATTGTACTATTTAATAATTAATCGAGGTGACCGCAAGCTAGCACCATAAACGTACCATACATACATATAATTTCATCCTTATGAATAATGTTCCTTAACACCATAATTCAGATAAATTACACTTATTATAAGACATAGGATAGGTGTCGATGCCAACATCCACATTCCCCGAGAAAGAGGATGGTGGTGGTGGCGATAGTGGTGGGGAAGTGGGATGGGATTTGATATGGTAGACCTTGACGATCTCCAAATTTTCTTCTTACGATAAACCAAAATGGTCGGATCGGGTTGAGTCGGGCCAATTTCCCAAACACTTGCTTTATTACTTTAAGATGGTGTAGAGGCAAAGCATTACATTACTAATTGTTTTGTAAATTTCAAGCAGGATTTAGCAAACACTTCAGTTTCTAATTAAAGAAAAAAATATTCCAAATATTTCTAGGATTATAAGTTATGTTAGTGAAATGCTTATATCAGTAGGATTTCAACAAATGTGAAAACTGAAAAATCCTTCCTCAAAATAAATGAATTCGATTTGAATAAGAAAATCATAGTAGCTCAGTCGATTGATTGACTACCTAAATTTTCACTTTTTTATTGAGAGTTCGATTTTAGGACTTGTAATCCCCTCCCTCGTTTCCTCTTCCCCTTCTCCTTCTCCTTCCCCTGCCCCCAATATTTTTTCTTTTTATTTTAAAAAATCAAAACTGTAATAAATGAATTGAAAGAATCATATTACAATACTGAAGTAATCACCAATAAGATACAACAACTCTAATTAAATGCTTCTCAAACAATTACTCCTCCGTCCAACAGTTGTCCACCGTACTATTTTGAATGTCCAACAATACTTGTCCACTTTATAAAATGAATGGATAAATTTACACTTACTTCCTAATTTATCCTTATCTTTAATTATAGTCATTTCTCTATTACATTTTTCAAGACATTGTATTTATTATATTCAAAGGGTGATATAGTAAAATTAAACTTATATTTATAGTTTCTTAAGAAATATACAAAGTCAATAGTGGAAAAGTATTGTTGGACAGAAAGAGTATAAAAAAAATATATGTATATGATTAAAATAATATTTTTAGAGTTATTTTAAAATAGGAAAAAGCATAAATATGTTGTTGAACTTTGTGAAAAAGCTCATTTATGTTATCCGTTAAAAGTTTGGTTCATCTATGTCATTTTCATTTGAGAAAAGGTTCATTCATGTCATTATTTGTTAATTAAAATAGCATAGATGAGTCAAACGTTTAGTGGATGACATAAATGAGCATTTTCTCAAAGTTTTTTCCTTTAAAATGATTTAATTAATGGACATGACAAAATCATAATTAACCACATATAAAAAATTAGTTTTGACTGATGATTGAATGATGATCGCAATTAATTTTGCAATAATAAAAAAAATCGCTAAAAATTAAGTGGAGTACTGCTAGGTGTATTAAAGTGAGGGATTGAAAATAAATTATAGAATGAATTATAAACTTAACATGTTCAATTTCTATCAAATTTTAGTTTTCTCATCTGAACAACAACAATATACACAATATAATTCTAAGAGTGAAATTTAAAGACTGTTTCTAATAAACTCTTATCAAAGTTGAAAATACCTGGAAATTAAAAATGATGTCTATTTAAATAATGAGAAATACTTAAAAAGAAATATCATATCATAACAATATATTTATTTCATGTGTACAAAGAATATCATTTATCACAAATCATTTGTTAATTATGTATTCTAACACTTAATTTGTCTATGTATATGACCTACTAATAACTATACAATATCCTATTAAAAATTAATTAACACTATCAACTTAATTATACAATTTTTTGAGTTTTTTTACATTCTGGTAAAACATTGTTGCATGTAAGATTGTTAATATTTCCCCAAATAGCATTTGGAGTTTCACCATTTCCTCCTAACAATTTCACATTCTCCAACAAAATTCCTTGACATGGAATTTTTTTGCTGCAATTGAAATTTATTGCATCATTTGTTGCACTTGTGCCTTTGATATTTTGATAAATCACATTTTTCACTTGAATTGCTGAGTCGGTCTGTAAATATATAAACATATTTTTGTAATTAAGAGATCAATAAAATTGATCATCACAAATTTGTCATTGAATTATATTATGAACCGATCATATTAACTCTATCATCAATATTATCGTCATAGATATTCCGTCACAACTTTATAATATACAATATGTTGTTGTATATTACATTTTCAAAGTGGGGTAAATTTGATCATATAAAATTTTGTATGGGGCTTTTATTAAATTTTTAGAAAGTTGAAGGAGTGAAATTAGTTTTGTTTATAAGTTAAAATACTACATTGTCCAAATGATGTAGCAAATTGCACTAAGGGTGTAAGAATATTCTATACTATATGTGTATTATATAAATAAAATTCTTTTTTGTTCGAGTTTAACTTATATATATATATATATATATATATACACACATTGACTTTACTAAAAAAATTACGACAAGTTATCTGCTATGTATAGTACTTTAATAGATATTTTCGTACCATTAATATATATAAGTTAAATCCATTTTCAATTACCTCAGCTTTGCATGGACCATCAGCTTGATCACAATAATTTTGGTCTATAATTATTGGATTTTTGACATTATTCATAGCCACATTTTGAAACTTAATATTGCTTGCACTTCCAAATCCTCCCTACATAAAATAATTCAGAATATAATTACATATATATTGCAAACAATTTTCATAATTTTAAAAAATATTTTTAAATTAATAAAAATAATTAATTAATTAATTTACCGGCCAAGTCTTAATCCTAAGTCCATTCGTAGTTCCATAAAGCTTAGCTCCATTTACATGAATATCAGACACATGAGCTTCTGAATTTCCACCTCCCAAACTTCCAATACTAAGCATAAAAAATAATAATAAATTACATAATTAGATTATAAATTTGATAAAATAATCTGAATTTTAAAGAAAAAAAAAGTTGATGGTTATAAAATGAAGAGGTTCAACAACAACAACAACAACAACAACATAGTCAATATAATCATGTAATAAGTGAGGTATGACCCAAAAGCTTATTTCTATCTTCGTGGGGTAAGAGAATGTGTTTCAGATAGACGGTCGACTCAAGAAAATAGTTTTTCAGAACAGTTTGAAATAAATTATGATAAAGATATTGAAGAAAGAGAAATAATGAAAGTAAAGAACTAAAGATAATCAAAATAAAAGAAATAATATTAATAATATAATAAAAAAATAAGATAATACTAGCATAATAATACTGATATAACGAAATTATATAGGTATATTTTGTATTTATTTTTTTTGTACCTTATTCCATGACCTGGTCCACAAGTAATGCCAGTGGCTAGGACCTTTTGAGATCCATCCACTATTGAGATGCAATCATCACCTACCACCAAATTAATTTCCAAAATATATAGTTAGTAAATAAGAAAATTTAATGTCATTTTATTGCACAATTAGTATAATATAATATTTGTAAAATATTATTTCAACAATTTACTGTTAGTACCATCTATAATAGAACAACTAATCATAAGTGTCACTTATTACATGCATGCAATTATCTCTTTATACATACAACTTGACCATATAAAAAAATAATTACTACAAGTATATGAAAGTTAAAGTCGTTAATTTATCGATACCTGTGCCAATGGTGGAGTCAGAAATTTGAATATTTTGAGTGTTAGTAATATGGATTCCATCAGTGTTAGGGCTATTTTCTGGAGAACTCACTACCAATTTTGAAACTTCAACACCAACACATTTCTCAATTAGCAAATGTATTTGTTGTGCATTTTCTATTTTAAGGTCCTTCACCTTCAAGTTGTTGCACTTGTAAAATGTTAGGGCCTGTCAAACATTTAAGTTTCACCAATAAAATAAATAAATTTAAGGTAAATTTAATTCACCAAAAAAATATTAGAAAAATGACATTAATAATTATATACGAATATTGAGTTTTAAAGTTCCATGCATCGACGATACAATCAGACATATATCAAGTTTTTAAAATTTCATGCACCGATGAGTGACGACACAACGAGGTAAAAAATAACTCTATATGTAATGAATTAATTGTTTTGTTCTTTGGAAAAAAATAAAAGATCAAATCAAATAAACGTACCGTGGGTGCAACCTTGCAGTGCTGCAAAATAAAAAAGTAGACATAAAAGTAAAAATTAGACAAAATTAGTTATATATCATAAAAAACAATAGAAACAATTGTGAAAACTATATATATATAAGTATGTAAAGGGTAAAAGGGTTGCTCGGGCCCGTGCATAAAGCATCTTGTGTTTACGTAAGGTTCGAGAAGGGTTGTATCCCTTTGGGTTATGATGTAGACAGTCTATCCTAATGCAAGTATTAGTGACTGTTTCCACGCGGCTCGAACTGATGCTGACCTATATAGATTACACAGAGATAACTTTACTGACTCTTCTTTCAAAATTAAGTATATATTTATACCAATTTTTTATTAATTTTGCAAGAATTTTGCCACCAAATTTTGCCATTGCCATTGATAACTCCAGCTCCTCCAACAACCAATTTTTGAACACTATCAAAAATAAGCCAGTGCCTACTATCCTTGTTGTAATCTGAAGTATCATCAGATGCTAATAGGGTTCCATAAATCTGCAATAAAAAAAATAATTGAAAAAAAGATTAAAAAATTGTCAAATTAATAATATTCAACAAATAGAAGTTAGAACCTATTAATTTATTTTCACGTGTAAAAACAGTGACAATATTAGGAATTTCACGAAAGGTGTTCAAAATCTTATATATATATATATGCAGTATAAAAGGTTATATTTGACCTATATACAATTTTTTGCCAAAAGTGTTCAACTAATCATAGTTCGCTGGATGTAGCTCTGTCACTATAAATAGAGCTTATTTCTCTCCATACATAATAATAGCAAAGTTTAACTTATATCCATGACAATGTAATGAATTTCTTATATTACCAGTGAAATAAGAATGTATTTAAGATTTGAAATTTATCAATTCATATAACGATATGAAATTAAAGTAAAATATTTATGGATACTATTCAAGGTCACGTGAACCCATATGTTACGCTATAGCTCACTACATCAAAAATGATCATTAGCGGCAATTAATTCTTAATTACCGCTAAATATGTATTTTTAGCGGCAATTAGCACTCTTTGTATATGTCCCTAAAGCCTTTAGTGACATTGGTTCTAATGGCACTTAACTAATGCCGGTAAAAACTTAGCACTGCTTATTAATGTCAATATTTATTGCCGCTAAAAATTGTTTTTGTTATAGTGGCTCCACATATGCAGAGCAACTTAACTTGTTGAGTAAGATCATTTAATTATCTTTTAAAATAACCTAATCGTGTAAAGACACTTTTATACTGCTAGTGTGGATTGACAATTGTACATAGAAAGCATCTCACGTTCACATAAATTTTAGAAAAGAGCCACACCACGAGGAAATGTAACGCGCAAACGACAACTTAATGTCCGTATTTTATAGTGTGATTAAAATGAAAATAATTTTATCGTTACTCCAAAATTCTTTTTACAAAATGATATGTCAACCTAACCTGCATTGTAATGGAAGATTTGCATGGCCCAGAAAATTTGATTGGTTTGAGAAGATATTTCTTGTTTTTGGACACCACAAAATTCACAACATTTGAAGACGAACAAACTTCTTTCCATGCTTTTTGAAATGCCTGAAATTAAGATAATTTCATTTAATAATTAATTAATTAATAACCAAAAAAACAAAGCTAATTAAATTGCTGATGATGTTGTTAAAATTAATCGTAAAAGTAATCTCAATCTACATATATTCACCATAATAATAGTTAGCTTTGAAGTATAACATAATCTTTAATTTCCACCAGGAATGAGATGTTTAATTCTCCTTTCATAACTAGAGGTCTCGGGTCAATTCCTAGACATAGAAAATTCTTGATAGGACGAAACGTTTTTTTCTCAAATAAGGCCTTACGCATGACGAATATGAAATAGTCGAGTTTCAATGCTAATATTGACAATCAAATAAAAAAGAATATTTAATTAATGTGTGTATATATATTAAATAGCTAATTCGATCATTTATTATTGATGGTTACTTATAATTAATTTTTAAGTGATGTGACATATAAATTGTTGCTTATTACGGTATATAGAAATTAAATTCATTATAAAACATTTATTTCACAAACTTTTCTATCTGGGATGTTTTTACAACCATTGAAAAATTATATCATATTTAATTAAAATCCTAAGTTTCAAAATCTCCATTTATTTTTTAATTTGAACTTAATAAAGTACCTCCACATAAATTAAAACAAAACAAAGGTAGTATACTACTTTTTATATGTTGTTTTTCTATTAAAAACACAAGAATTTTAGAAAATTTTCGAAGGTATGTCTGTGATAAAACTTCTAACTAGAGCTGTCAATATGGGCTAGCCCACCCCATCCGGGCTAACCCATACAGGCTTTGACATTTTACGGGCCAGGCCAGGCTAGCCCATTTTTGGTGTGGGCCAAAAAACGGTCGGCCCAACCCACAAGTACGTGGGCTACAGGCTTGCCGGGCCAGCCCACTTTTTTAAAAGTTATATATTTTTTTAGAATTTATTAAATTAAATTATAATTTAAAAATATTATCATAAATATTGATAAAACAATATTACATGGTGTTAATGCTACTACTTGTTAATCAAATCACAAATAAAATTATCTTTATAATATTTAATAAGTTTTTTTCAAGTAAAAGTATAAATATCTAAATAGAAATATTAACCTAACTGTTTTGCATTGATCACAATAAAACACAAAAAATATGACAATATTCCAACCATAAAAATGTAAAAGATAAACTCCTTAAAAAATCATGAAACTTATGGCGTATCTAACACTTCATGAAACCTATGACGTATCTAACACTTCATGATCATCTTCATCAAGCATATCTGAATCAACTTGTGGGAAGGTTGTCTTAACATCTTCATTTTCATATGCAATTTATATGCGGTTTCAATTAGTTAAATATTAAAAAATAACTAAATTGAGAATTTTAATATTTAAATGTACACAAAAATATATTGCCAATTTGAGAAAAACCATGTAACCAGTTTCGAGTAGCAACAAGTGTTTGGACATTTTCATGGTGGATGCAACTTTTATTACTTAGTGATTTCCTAAAAAACTTTAAATAGATTTTGAGTTTGGATCTCTTTTAATTTTAAAATTTTTAATATTATATTATATTTTTTAATTAATTTGTATTAGCCCACGGGCCGGCCCTACCTATATTTCTCAAGCCCCACAAATCAACAGGCTTATTCAGGCCGGGCTAAAAAGCCCTTTTTTTAAATGGGCTCCAAAATTTTTAGTCCAGCCCTATTAAATCCCGGGTTAGGCCAGGCCGGCCCAACAGGCCTAGCCCATATTGACAGCTCTACTTCTAACGAGTCAATATACAATAAAATCTTAGAAATTTTCATCAGAAATTCGTGTGCATGTTTTCTAATTATAATTTGAGAGATACTTTCTCGAAAATTAGTTTAGTCAGAAATTCGTGTGTTTTTAGTAATAGTTTGAAAGAAAAATTCTTAAAGAAAACTAATACTTACATTTGTATCATCTATTTTTCCATCACCTTTAGCTCCAAACCGATCCACACTAATTGTTATAACCTTAGCTTGATCTTCTTCTTCATCTAATTTCTCCAAATTCTTAAATCTTTGAAATCTACTAATTATTTCAAGATTTTTCTTCATATTGTTGTTTTTTTCATGATCAAGAATGGTGTTGAAATAATTTGAAGGATAAGCTTTAAAATGAAAATCATTACCAAATTCCTCTTCAAGATTATTTATGTTGTGATCATCATCAAGGAATTTAATGCTATAGCAAGATGAAAATGACATAATAATAATGATAAAAATGGTGAATAAAATAAAGGGATTTCTTAGAAGTGTCATGGTATGTTTGTTAGTTTTGTTGTGTAATATAATATATGGTTTTTTTTATTTTTTGGTTGAAAAATAATGATGAAAATTATGGAGGAAAGTATGGGGGGATACTTGTTGGTTAAGAGAAAATGAGGGTATGGAAATAATTATATGATAAAGTGAGGTGGGGGATTTGTCTATTTATAGAATTTAGGGGTTTTTTTTAAAAAAAAAAAATTATTGTGAGAGAGATTTAGACGAAAGTATTATTTATTTCTTGGACAATTTGCTGACTTCTTGCCTCCATACTTACTTAGAAAACAAGAATTGAAATAGAAAAAATAAATAAATTGAAATTTTGCTTTTCAACATATCATAATATTTGTACGGCCATAAAATGAATTTTCAAAATTTGTAATTCTTAACATAATGAATTTTCAAAGTATATCCAATCTACTAAATAGAATGCCTTCGACCACTTGAGTATCAAAACGTGATTTTTACAAAAATAAAACTAAAAATTACTTCTGCCAAAAAAGAATATATACCTTTTAATTATTCATACATAACTTATGTCACCATAGATGATCTAACCGACCCTGCTCCTATTACGATATTTCAATTAAAATACATGTTGCTTTTACAATAGATAATTTCAAAGGGTTGCAATGATAAATTAGGATGTATCACCTACTTGATGTACTATTGAGAAAAAGGGTCATATTTTACTTGTAGAATAAATCACTACATGGTACAAATTTTTATTTTCAAAAAATTGCTAAAATGCTAGGAAATATATATATATATATTTATTTATTTATTTATTTTTTTAAAAAAAATAAGTCAAAAACCTTTTAAAAGGTAATTACTTGAGCAAAAAAGACTAATGTAGGGAAAAGAAAAATTATAAGCAATGTTGATAAATTTGTCTAAATTGGAAATCATTTTTGCTTGTTTACTCAAAAAACAATGCATGAAGCTTCCATCAACGATGGTCGTTGCTGCTCCTTCCTTAATTATAGATTTCGAGTTTAAGTCCTGGAAGCTTTATGTGTCACAAATCTAAAATAATCAAACTCTAATGTGAATTAAGTGAAACCCAAAAAAACAAAACAATGATTGCTATAGTTTATTGCTATAGTTTAAGAAAAAAAGTTTTCTTAGTGATGGGCTTTGGAGTAAGCCGTTTATATTAGGAAAACTTACATAAATATATTTCAATGGCTAACCTTACAAATATTTTATCCTTAATTTACTAATTGCATGGATGATGAGATATTCCGTAATCTTTTTAATTGCAATTCATTATGAGTATAAAAACTAATCCATAAAAACATAACGTATTGAATTCACATATGTTTAATTGAGGAATAAAAATGGGAAATAGAAAAAGCTGTATATATAAGAAATGTGGCGATGAAGTTTAATTCTTAGTAATGGGCTTTGAAGTAAATTGCTTAGATTTCATCGTAAACGTTAAAATTAGCTATAAAATTTATCGTTTATATACATCAAATAGTTAATACTTAAAAATATTGTTTTGAAAATCTATCGCTAAATAGTAAAAATAATATTTTTGTTATGTAATTACATAATTTACCCATTACTAATTTTTATAGTAGTAATTTATGATTAACACGACCTTTAACGGATTTGTGACAATTTAATGATAGCAATGCCAAAAAGCTAATAAAGGTAAGTAAATGGTTTTAATTAAATTTCCTTTGATTAAAAAAAAATATATGTCGTGCAAGTAAGGTAAAACATAATTTAGAAAACTTTCTAGATATAGAATATTTTCGTTAAAATTTTCAACTCCGCCGTTCTAAGATGAAATCCATTAATATAATAACGACAACAACATAATACTCATTGAATGAAATTCATCAATACAAACAAAATTTCTACTAATAATCGAATTTGTGGCAAATTAAAATCTTTCGTGAGTATTTTTTTCTACTTGTAATGAGATACTATATTGGGAGGGAAAACTTTATTCAAATAATAAAGTTATATTTTTGTGACATGTAAGTGTTTGAGTCGTGCAATTAGCTAGCCATTGATGTTTGCATCATATAAATCGTTTACATCACATTACTTTAAAATACAATTATTCTTTAGATTTTACATGGACTGAAGATATATATTCCGTGCGCTAGACTAACATTTTTTTTTAGGTGAGATACCTATTAATGAGATATCAAATTTTGTGGATAGGAACTTTTGATTAATCATACATAAATTTAATTAATCTTAGATCATGTCACCATCTAGAATTCTTTAGTCTATATATTAATAACACATGGATTGTTTTTGCCAAAAAAGTAGTTATTTTATTGATAGATAAAAAGTTATGGAGCTGCAAAAAAGGGAAATTTGAATTAATATAGATATTAATCCATTAATTTACTTGTTCAACTTTGGCACGTTATAAGTTAATTAAGTGAAGGTAGTTTGTAACTTGTAGACAGTTAACTTAGTTTAAGATTAATTAGTAGTTAGGATTTATCTTCAATCAATTATGGCCATGTAAAATTATGATTTAATGCCTATTAATCACATGTTGTTGTTATATTGAATCTGCTTCTGATATATCTATCACAAAAATCACCATTCAATGTCACAAATTCTAAATCAATATAGGGAAAAGGGTCTGAAAAATACTCCAACTTTGGTCGAAATTGTTGTTACGATATCAAATTTTGGAAAGGGCCTTTTACCCCAGTACTATTTAATAGTGTATTTTAAAGGTATATATGTGCCCACGTGGACACATTACTATTTAAAATGATGCAATATTTATGATGTCCACGTAGGCACATATATACCTTTAAAATACACTATTAAATAGTACTGGGGTAAAAGGCCCTTTCCAAAATTTGATATCGTAACAACAATTTCGACCAAAGTTGGAGTATTTTTCAGACCCTTTTCCCTATATTGATTTAGAATTTGTGACATTGAATGGTGATTTTTGTGATAGATATATCAGAAGCAGATTTAGTCCGTAAATTTAAAAACAACGTTTTTCCAATCTTATCTTGTATACAGTAAATATGTATGAATGTTTGATTATTATTTTAAACAAAGGGACTAATAATAAATTTTAGCGGTAAATCTTTTCTCTAACGATATATTTTGTTGCAAAATAAAAAATAAAATAAAGGTCTGTATTCGAGTGATTGGATATTTACTATTTAGGGAAACTGAGACTCATTATTATTGGATATTATTTTAAAATTATCATAAAATCAATAAAAAAATTAAATTTTAAATCCGTCTTTCGATAAGTGTTTGTCAAAGTATGTACTACACATTTCAAGTCAACCAAACCCTTAATTCATTTCTCTGCCTAATATTGGGATTAAGGGGGAATATTAATGCATGTATTTTTAGCTTTCATAATCAGTAGTCACCCATCACCATATTAAAGCCAATTCTATTGTAATTATGACTTTTTTCTTAAGAAGGGGTTAAATAAGCGGTTCCAATTATAATTTGAATGAATTAAATTAAGTAACAAGTTGAGTCACGATTTATAAAAAAATTGCTCAAATCAAGATTGTGTCTCTTTAGGTTCCACAATGGATCATAACTCAAACTGTTCAATACAATATTATTTTTCAGTTTACTAAGGTGAAAAGATTGATAGAGATATATTTCGATGAAATGCTCTAAATTCTAAAAAAACTATAAAAAGTAGGACGACAAATCCAATCATGATAATTGATAATAAAGAGAAACAGTGATTCAACTATATAGTTTTCATAATAATAAAGTCTATAGGCCATCAATTGTGACATTTATAAAGAGTACTTAACTTCTTGAATTTTTTAAAGTTTTTAACCTCTATTCATACATAAATATTATATGTTTGCGTGGATATATATATATATTTATTGAGAGTGTGTTATAACTTTTTTTTTTTAAGAATGAATGTCCATAAAAAAATATGAATAGGAATTGAGCAAGCGGAATGTATAAATTAAAGTTAATATTAAGCTATGATTATGACATGTTTTCTTTATATTGGATTTAGTGAGAATATTTGAGGATGAAAAAAGTAGGATATGTAATTGAGAAAATTATGTAACTAAGCAAATAACTATTAATGATTTATTTGATATAGCCTATAATTACAACTAATTTTGATTCACAACTAATGTTAAATTCGAATGGTTATAATTTGTGGGGGCCATCAACTCAATTTGTATCAACGTATAACTACCTTACCTCTTTCCTGTTTTTTTTTTTATACAAGTTAGGTTTTTTTCTCATTTTACATATCACTTATTTTTCTCCTTAATTTATTCAATCATAATCAATTTTTTGAAATTTCAAAGATATCTTTTCTCCCGTCTAATCATTCTTCATTTATTAAATTCAGTTTTAAAGGATAAAATACAATATAATAGTAGTAACCATCCAAACGTACTCCCAAATCATGCATAAGTTCCACAATTTTTACATGATGTTGAATTTGTAGAAGTTTCACCATCCAAACCTAGTCCCAAATTCATTTTTAAATGTTAAAATACATGTTTTTTTTCCTTTCTCACAAATCGTACTCCCACAATTTCAAAAATCAATTTTTGTGTGTCTATCAGAGATCAACTTATGCATGTTTTTAATTCAAAAAATAAGAACAAAAAAAGAAGAGAGGAACAAAAAGAAGAAAATTCAAATGAGGTTTTGATTTCAAAAAACAAGTGTAAGCAGGGACGGACCCACACGATTCCTTTCGGATGCTCGAGCACCCATTAACCTCGTATTAAATTATATCTTATATAGAAATTATAACAGTAACTTATAAAATATAAAACTTGAAGCCGAGCACCTAGGTATCAAATGAATTGATTAGCAAGTTGTTAGCTTGCTTCCTATTCCTGGGTTTGATTCCCTCTATGCACATAAATTTTAGTTTCAAATCCAACTCTCCTCTTTCTATTTATTTATTTCAATTTGTTTTTTTTTCTCTATGCTGATTGTTGTTTTTTCCCTTTAGGCCCTTTTGCTAACTTTTTCTAAACAAAATTATATTGAAAAAACTTCTCCTTCTTTCTTTTTTCTTTATCCGAAATAATTTTTATTATAGTTCTTTTTTATTGACTATTTTCATTATCATGTTTAAATATTATTGTCTTTCTTAAGACAAATATTAAATTTGTGCACTTATATTTAATAATTGATTGTCGAAGGAGCACCCACAATCTTAAAATTTTGAATCCGCCACTAAGCGTAAGGTAAAAAAAATTGCACCTAAAAGCAATGAATCGAAATCATCCAAAGAAAAAGATGTTCAATCTGAGCCAATGGACCAACAAGATGGGGAAGATCTTGAGGTATTTATATATTTTAGTTTGTATATTTTTTATGTCTGATTTGTATATTTATCATTAAATTCAATAGTTTTTTTTTTTTTTTTGTATATGAGCATATAATTTGTTTGTATTCCACCTCATTTGTATATATTACACAACTTTTAAGCCACATGTGATTTTTTATGATTAAGATTTATATACACTAGAAATTATACAATATATTTATTATACTTATACAATTTTAGCATTTGTATAAGCTTACCCTTGTTTGTATATCTCAAACAACCGTAGACATATATAGATATCATCATAACAACTCATATTCTGCATAACTGATTTTTGTAGTTCACATTTGTATATTATAAAGAAGTATACATTATATCTCCTAGTTGTATAAGTTTAATATTTGCGAATGCTTTTTTATACATTTTATATGTGAATGTTTTGATATATATTTGATTTGTATATCTATGTATTTTTTTAACCCACGTGTAAAAGTTGTAGTTTGTATTAGTATATTATTAGTAAGTATACATTTAGCTCTTATTTGTGTAATTTTAGCATTTGTATAAATCAATCGATACAAATATAATTCAATATGATTTTCGTGTAATTTTAAAAAATAAAAATAAATTGATATAGATACAATGAGTTATTTATGGGATTTTTTGCTTGATTTGTGGAATTATGCATGATTCATGGATTTTTTTTTTAAATGCAATGTCTATCATTAATTAAAACAAGAGTCCTATTTGTATAAATATTTAATAGTCACGAGAGATTATACAAATCGTAACCTGAATAACTACGTTATATAATTAGCAAACATTAGCTATATTTACCACATTATGTTTTAAGTCCTTTCTATTTTTGAAAGTTTTCCTTTGCAATTAGCTACACTCAATGCGAGATTTCTATCGGATCAAATCTTTTGAAAAGTTTTTGGACCTAGCGAAAAGGACTTAATGGGCCGGTAATTGGGTTGTACCATGATTTCAGCCCATTTGCTTCTCTTCGATTGGGGCCAGTTGGGCCAGTTGGGCCATTTTGGGCTGGACCATTACTATCATCACTCATTATGTGCAACATACAATTAAATTGTTGGAGTGCGTCCTAAGAAATGAGTCCTGAAATGTATAAGTTTAAATTTAATTGAGTTCCAATGCAAGTATCAAATATCGGGCAGAAAATAAAATAAAAAAAACTATCCTATTCACCGCCAACTTTTTTCTATTTTTGATAATCTTGGTGTACGGACTAGTATGTATGTACCATGATTGATTCAATGGGTAATAAGTAATTCTGTCAATCAAGACTTAAATAGATTAAAAAAATCATTTACAATTTTGTTTCCGTTGGAATTCGAACCTAACACCTTTCTAATCATGCCCAACATAGTATAATACTTTTTCTTGCATTATCTTGTCATTAACAAATTAAGTAAATCATTAGTGGGATTAATTAAAAACTACAAAATCCCGTTTGTGTTATCTTACACACTTTTGTTTTCTTTTTCTTTTTTTGTTCAAAGTTTTCTCATTGTGTATTATTAACAAATTAAGTAAAGCATTAGTAGGATTAATCCAAATTTCCAAAATACTCTCTGTTATTTTACACACTTCCTTTGTCTGATTGTTCCTAATTATCAATTTATGATAAGTGTATCTATTTTCCAAGTCTCTAGAATATGAAATTGAAAATAACGATAATATATTCAATGTAATTCCACTGGATCCAATCATATGGTTTGTGAATTTGGCAGAACTTAGTATTTTTTCTATAAGGAACAAGATTTACCGACATAATCAGAATGAACCGTCAGGAAAATTACATATACATTTCAAAACACATTCTCTCAACTCAGAAATCACCATGTTTAAATTTTGAATTTGTCAAAAATAGACAAAAACTAGATCTTTTTTTACAAACACATAATAGCAATTCTATCTAACACACCATATATTTATGTAATTTAACATCTAAACAATTGTCCAAAGTGTTTCCTTACTACCATTCACTCACTCACCATACTCTTAGAGTGCTACAATACACTTGAAAATATATAATATAATGTTGTAAGAAACTAATAGAGAATCCAACCATATGGTTTGTGAGTTCGACAAAACCTAATACTTCAAGATCATCTTCCTCCTAAAAGGAAGACGATTTGTTGACAGAACCAAATGAACCGATAGGAGAGCTATATATACATTTTAGAACACACTCTCTCTATTCAGAATTCACATTATTTAAATCCTGAATCCATCACTATAAGTAGAAGCTCCTCGATATAGCAAAACACAAAGTATCAATTATCTAACACACTTTTTTTAATTTTTTTTTTTTTGTAAATTTAAAAGAATGAACGTTTTGTTGGAGCTCTACCAACAGCTCTCATCAAATTGGCTAATTCAACAACTCTAGCTACTTTTGTTCCTCTTTTTGCTTCTGCTGATGCCTTTCTTTCCTCTGCTTTTCTTCTTGCATTTGCTATATCATTTTGCATCTTTTCTAGTGCTTTTGCTCTTTTCTCCTCTAACTTCCTCTGAAGAAAAAAATAAATACAAACAATGTTACTATAGTGTTTGATTGCGCACAAAATTTTGGCGGATACTAAAGATATTCTGAAAATTTATTGTCTAACACGTGTCATGATATATACGACTAATCGACAATATATAAGAGTATTTCCGTTGCTGAATTTATTCCAATTCCTAGAATTCGAATTGAATCAGTAGGCTACCACATCAAGGTGATCTACACCTCATTTCATCATCCCAAAGCATATAATAGGTGTTTCATGTCATTAATATTTGGTAGATAGAGACATAAAGTTGCTCTATACTTATGTTGCCGAAAAATAATAAGTAATAAATGAAATAAATTAAAATGCACGTAGATCGATACAAACACCATTATTATTAGAAAAACTATTTAACATTATGGTCCCAAACACTAACCTTAGAATAGGGGCAAGGGAACCAAAAAAAATCATTTTCTTCCTTTTTTACTTTTTTTTCTTGGGGGAAAGTGGGGTTGTGGGGTTT